ATATATATATATATATATATATATTTTCAAGAAATGTCAAGTTTCTAAACCATCAAGGCCAGTAACTGTATCCATTAGGGCAGCACTTTGAAGTTCTTTATCTGCAATAAGAATTCGAAGAATTTGAATAGTAATTCGTTACTAATCAAAGATCATAGTTAAATCATCTTTGTCGAACTATATTTACAAGATTCCTTATGGCAATATCCAATGTTTGAATTAATAAAGGTAGATGTCACACATATCGTGGACTTGCCGAATTACTTTGAGTTCTGTGGCTGGTAAACTCTGCATTACCAGCATATTACCAGTTCCACGTCAGATGAGTTCGCGGACAGTCTTACCAGATCTACCGCTTTTGAATTAGATCTACCCAATAATATAAAAGATGTGTCAGACTAGGTGAAATTTTCATAAGCCCTATGTTAACCATCGAAAAGGTCACTGGCGACATTAATGACAAGGCTAATTGGATTTACTCTTTACTGCCACAATAGATCTACCGTTTTACACTAGGAGCAAAGCATAAGGCAGTGTTGTTACTACTCGAAAAAAAATTGATAGTAGTATATATATCGAAAAAAGTAGCATTTCATAGAAAATTGCAGCTTTTGGGTGAGAGGTTCGCAAAACTGATTCATTTTGAAAAGTGGCAGTTGACTTATGAAAAGTGACAAAAGACGTGTGAAAATGCTCTCTAATCGTCTACCATAGTTACTGTGCCTTATCTCATTTCTGTCTCAGTTATGATACATCACTTGTCAATCTTGTCAGTTAAAGTTTGTAAACAATAAGTTGAAAGTTTCTTAAATATAATAAAATGGGTAAAACGTAACTTGTTAATGTTGAACGTCAAATTGTTCTACCTCTTTAACATTGTTGATATTTTGATGTGGCAGCACTGGTTTAGGGCAATATTTTGAAGTAGTTCAAAAGATATGAATTGAATAGTTTTTTGGCTGCCAGTACATTAAAAAAACACATAGTTCTGAAATTTCACTCCACGATCCAACCCACAGTTTCAACGAAATGGTTATTTGCAAATTTTTTCTTCAAGGAACGTGTAAATTTGGTGATTTTTGCAATTTTGAACACCAAATTAATGGTAAGTTGATCAATATAATCTGTATGTAATCTGATATAAAAATGCTTCCAGTTTTGTTTCAGACAGTTTCAACAACTTCCAAAATGGGACATCAATTCTTAGGAAACCAAATTTCGGTACTACCCAACCTCAATCAAATTTTGGTACTACCCAACTGCAATCAAATTTTGGTACTACCCAACCTCAATCAAATTTTGGTACCCCCCAACTTCAACAATCAAAATCCACAGTACAAACTTCTCCCCCGAGTACTGCCGATACAGCTACTCTGGTTAAATCTGTTGTAAATGATATGACTTCAGCTGAAAAAGGAGGTCAGTGGTTACTTTCTTGTTATGCACCATTCAAAGAAAAACCCGCTTTCCCTGGTTTCGAGGATCAGAGCTTTGAAGAGATGCGTCTTGCTTATTATGAAGCAATGAAAAGTGGTACCTTAGATCAATATGTAAGTATTATTTATTGGTTTTAATTGAAAAATCCTTCATTACTCAAAAAAATAATATAGATCAATTGTACAACAAAGCCACAAATGATATTAGATAGTAGATGGAAAGTTGTACATGGAAAGGTTTGTCAGTTTTTTCATAACACGTTACACCAGGGTTTACTATTTTCAAACAGTTCTAGCTCTTTTTTTTTGTTCCTATGAGCATTATTTGAGTAGATAGGAGTTTTTAAATTGATATGATTTGATTCTTTGTATGAATTCATTATTTGAAATTTCAATCTCTCGGTAGTGAGTTATAGAGGTTAGGTTAGGTCAAAAGTCAGTGGGTCTATTAGACCCTCCACCGCAAACCGCAAGGAATTATTGTGGTTCACACCTATTCAAATTTGACCAAATAAACCCAGCTTCTTAACGAAGCCTATTAGTTTATATGGTGAGTGATCTTTCAGGTCAGATGGTAAGAGTGTGGTTCTACCAAACTCTGTCCGCAGCGGGGAAGGCACAGAGTATATGCTCTGCTGTTTCATTATTTTCCAAACAAAGGTGACACCAATGTCTTCTGACAGTCCGAGTCTCTGTATATGATGATTCAGATGACAGTGACCTGTAAGAAGGCCTGTTACACAGCGTAGTTCATCCCTACTGTAGTCCAACAACTGTTTGGTTTCAAGCTTCGAAGGATGAATGAACGCCATGGAGTGAGCCATTCCTGAATGGTTCTGCCAGAAGTCCATAAATCTTGTCATCCAGGTATTCAATGTTTGTTTAGCAAAGCCTAAAGCAATGCCAATGACAGGTTATGGTCCGATGAAGCTACTTGCAGCACCCCCCTTTGCAAGGGAGTCAGCAGCCTCATTGCCTTCCAGGCCAGTGTGGTCAGGAATCCAGACCAGAGACAATTTGTTAAGTCTTCCTATTGAGGAGAGTCGATTTTGTAAATTTGCTACCAATTTGGACGTTGCTCAGTAGGAGCCAAGAGCTTCCATCGCCGCTTGACTGTATGAGAACATTTTTATTAACTTGTGTGTGAGGTTGGGTTCTACCAATCTCTCCGCACACAATTAAATAGCATAGATTTCTTCTTGAAATACAGTCGCATAGGTCCCTAGGTAGGTAGATATCTCTGTCCTGGGTCTGCAACTGAAAACAATTGCACCAGAGCCTGAAGGTGTTTTTGATCCATCTGTGAACCAACAACTATCTGCTCTTAAAATTTCCTTCTCCCGGAGGGTCCAGTCCTGTCTACTCGGGAATGTACTGTATAGGACAGTTCGTAGTTGTCAGTTGGAGGCATAATGTCAGAGGTCATTCCCTGAATGCTGTGACTTCCAGTGTCAGCAGTTTAGTGTACTCTGCATTAGATTGATTTGTGCAACTGGCAATGTGCACAAGTCTCTATGCAGTAAGTCTAGCCTCGATCTCCAGAAAAATGTGTAGGAGGTAGATCTAGAAGGATCTCCATGGCTGCTGACGGTGTGGTACTGATGGCACTACAGATAGCCAGGCAAGCATGTCACTGTAAGCCAGAGAGCTTCGCCTGGATCGTTTTCTGTAAAGCCTTCGACTACCAGGCAATTGCTCCATAAGTGATCATTAGTCAGACAATCATCACATAAATCCAATGGATTTGTTATAGAGATAACTACAGACTCATTCCTGGTACTTTTCATATTTGCTTTGAAGCACACTTCTAACATACATTTTATTATTCTGTTCATATTATTATGCACATATGTGATCATCCATACAGTTTTTATGTAGTTATGGATATTTCTTAGATTTTTTTTGACCATTGCAACAACATTATAAAGTATAATTTGAAGCGTATTAATGATTTTAGATTTTGATGAATACTCTATTACTTTCAGTTGATTGTCTCCATGTAACAATATTATAACGTAATGAGGGAGCTAAAGACTAATAAATGTATGGTATTGAATTTCTGTTAAGTGAGGATTTGAGATGATTCATAGTGAAATCTGATCGATTCAGTTTTATACACAAATTGTTTATACCTAGAAAGTTAATGTTAATGTAAGTAATTAGTATTTTTGATTTGAACAAAACCTCAATGATTCATGGAAAAATGTGTATATTTTGTTTTATCTAATTTCAGAAGAACATGCTTATTATTGCACTACTGCACGAACTGTTTAACATTCAATGCTTTTTTGATAATGAAAAGATAAATGAAAATTTCTATGTTTTTTACCACTTTTATTGATATCCTGTAGTAGGGCTTCCTGTGGACATTATAATTTACAGGTTTCAAGTATCCACAACTATAAAGTATACTTACTGAGAATTGAACCCTTCCGTTTTATGAAGGGAATCATGAGAATTTATGAAAAGTATACAACATTCTGAATGTTCTTTTATGGTTCATGTCCATATTGTCCATTTTTATTATCTTGTCGAGTAACTATGTAAAAGAAAATATTTAGAAATTTAGTCCACCTTAGTGGTTGTAATTTCATAATAAAGTATTTTTATTGAGGTTTTAACCTTTATTGCTTTTGCCCAGCTATTTACTATAACATTTTGTATTTACCATTATTAACAAATGTAAAAATCACTCATTTGAATTTTTTAGTATATTCCCGTTCATATTACTTTTCAGGATAATTATCAAAGAAATGAGAAACTAGTTTTTGTTTTGTTTTCAGAAACAACAAGTTCATATGATGATTCAGCAGATTCAAATGAAGATAAAATCTCTTCAGAACCCTTCACCTGATATGATTAATTTACTGAAAAATATATACAATACTCCACCTTCATCACAGTCAGGAGTTTTTTCGGGAAATTTATTCAATAGTCCTAATACTACGTCACTCAATCAGCAGGGTACAGGCTTTGGACAACAAAATACTTCAATATTTGCTCAGGCAAACCAGAACTTGTTTGGTGGAACTCAGCAACAACAAACCACTCCTCAAACTTCTTTTGGTTCCACAGGAACTAATATTTTTGGAACAACTTCACAAAATAATGTGTTTGGAGGTCAAGCAATCAGTAATAATCCTTTCACCACCTCACAACCTTCGGCGCAGACTGCAAATACCAGTATTTTTGCAAAGAACAATTTCAGCTTTGCGTCTGCTGCTAACTCTGTTTTTGGTGTGCAACAGGCTCCTCAACAACCGTCAGGATCTATTTTTGGAGGAAATAGTAATGCTAGTGTGACGGCACAACCAGTTTCACAACAAAATGTATTTGGGGGTCAGAGCATTTTTGGACAGCCTGTTCCTCAGAATACTGGACTTTTCAATACTAGCTCTGTTTCCCAGCAGCCACAAACTAGCATATTTGGATCGCAACCACCAGTCCATACTTCGCAAACAGTTACTGAAAATAATCAGGCTCCTACAAATATCTTTGGAGCTGCTGCAGCTCAGACCAAAACTGCAGGATCCATCTTTGGGCAACAAACAGGACCTAGCGAACCTAATCCTATTTCAATTTTTGGTCCTACAAAACTCAATGTTGCGAACCAAGAACCCAATATTAGCATTTTTGGTGGATCAGCAGTAGCAAGCAGTTCAGTTCAATATGATGAAAGTTTGTACTCCAAATTAGAAGATTTAACTGAAGAAGAAGTTAAATGGTTTCAAAGTGATAGTTTAGATATTAATGGAATACCAGAAAAACCACCCACTTTTGAAATGTGTTTCAGAACTTAAATTCAGTATTGATGTCTTGTAAATGATTGTTGATTTTAGAGTCTGTTAACATTATTGTACTTTATTTATTTATATTTGCATTTTTGTTCTGGAGAATAAATGTATAGAAGCCAAAGCCCCCAAAACAATTACTGTCACAAGGAGAAGAAGTAGAAAGCCAATAAGCTTTTTCCCAAAACACTAAGCTTCTTAAAAATATACTCTTTCAATTAATAGGTCTACTTTTGACTATGATTTTGAGCAATCACTGTGAAAGGTAAGAAAATTTTCCTAAACCAATTCAACAGTCTAACGGCGTAAGCAAGAAAAACCAACATTGGTATAACATAATCTTGCCGCAGAGAGAGTTCTTTACTGAGGTTACCTTTTGTGAGTGGCGTTGTTCTACCTTGAGGTTAATATACGTCTACCCTGGCATCCATATGGTGCAGGATTCTTCCGTCTATAAGCTACACATCCTCTCTGTAATCCTCTAATTGTCCTTATTGAGATGGACAGTTGCACATTTGTTCATCCCGATAGCATGCATGTACTCATCCTCCACCCTTAAGAATTGAGGGAGATTTTTTTGGGGTCAACACATTTGCCTCGTGTCTTTGATATAGATTATTATTAGTATTGAAATGGAACTTTTGCAATAATTTTTTTATGCATTCAATGGTTAACATAAGATATCAAAGTGGTAGAAATAGCACGTTACAAGATAAGACTTTGTTGGTTCTTTGTTCGCCCAAGTTTCAACTTTTGAGAGTTTTCGTTCATATGGGCACAATACGGAAACAGTAATTTTAATCAACCATTTACCACTAAGTTTACAAATAGACCAAACTACTGAGTTTACTCGAAAAAATTCAACTTTGTCATTACATCACTCTGATCACCTGCTATGAAGATATTATAAGAGTGGACTGGAAATAATGAAATTGGAAAGGCTCATACACATAAAAAATTAACAAATGAATAAATAATTATATACAAAGAATAAATTGTATTCTAGTTACATCATACCATCAATAGAAATATGACGTTTACAAAGCATCTATTACATTTTTAAAAATGAAAGTTTTTCATGATTTATGAAACGGAAAAATAGTTCATTTGAAAAACATTTTGTTTCTTCAACTGCAACTCCAATCGCAATCAGCAGAATATATCTTACCCATCATGTTATACTTTTTCCATTTCAATTAACTTGAACTGAAATTGTAGGAGTGAATCTCCACATGTGTCTGGTAGAGACTATGGGGTTGATACGTGGTACAACACTACTTTCTGGTGCACAACATTGGATGTCTAACTTGTATTGGCCAGGTGTGAAAAAAATTACATTGCATTCGTGATTCGCTCTGGTGTGTGGTTCGAGAAAAGGTAATACTTTCCTGGAAAAAAAAAGTACAATATGGATATTTTGTTGTGTTAGTGTGATGGGTGGATATTATCATCGTTATTCACCTTGTTTTGCGGCTTGAAAATAGAAATGCTTGTACTTAACAATTGTGAATTTGTATTGAACTACTCGAACGTTTCGAGCAATATCACCCGAAATGACAGAGAAAAATAATGTTGGGTACTTTATTTAACCATCCAGCCCCCCAATTATTTTTCAGCTACTATTGTTTTTACTAGTGCAGAATTCAAACACATGGGGAATGTTCCTCAATTTGGGTTATTACAACAAATGCAAGTTTGAACAAAATAAAGTTGAGTTTAATTCATGAGTTTTTCAAATTCACTTCGAAAAGTATTCAAATTGATGTTTCAAATGTTGGGTTTTAATTTTTAAAGGAAATTGTTTCTAATTCACATTTGGCAACAGCGCAGCGCCTATATCAAGTTGAAATAATTTATACATACCTAGATATTCTACTTTAAAAAAGGAAAATTATCTTTATAAATCAACAATTAAGGAGGCAAAATATAAATTATAGTTCAATACCACCTCCACAAGCCACATAAACAACAGTTGTTTTATTATTTATTTATATAAAGAAAAATAGGTTAGGTGCACAAAATGTCATATATCTCGGAACTCGGAACATAAGTAAACAGAACAGCACGCCTCTGAAATATGTCATCTTTGTCTCATACAGGTAACAGATTCATTGTCCTTTATTAGCTATAACCGATGTTGCCAAATGGCGAAATAGAAACAAATCCCTTTAAATGTTGAATGCATTATTTCATTCCTCTTTTTAATTATTTAAATAATTTTTTAAAGAAAAAGATTGAAATGATAAGTTTAAAAAATGCGTTGTTTTAGAGCTCTTTTATGAAAACTACTTGATTTTCGTCAGGAGGAACATTCCCCATTCTAACCTCAATAGGAAAAAATATTTTGTACCAGAAACTTAAAAATGTAGCTTAAAAACGCAAATTTTTCAGACTAATTATGTCAAATACAGGATAGAAAATTTGATTATTTCTCAATGAAGTTAATTCAGAAAGAAGTACAGAATGCATAACTAATTGGACTCACACAGAATTCAAAGGAAATTCAGTATAATAATGCTATTTACATTTGAGGCGAAAGTTTTCAGATGGAGGTTTGGGTTTTGAAAACGGAAAAGGATTGTTCTCCAAAACTTCGACCAAAAAGATCGTAGAAGGTTATACACTCAAAAAATAGTATGAATAGTAATTTATACGAGTATAAAAAGGACAATTTTCTAGTTTATTGTGACAAGTTATTAAGTGAAAGCAATATACTTTTCTCAAAGATTTTTTTTTCTTACCAGCAATATTCAATAATTTTGCCTATAAAAAAATTGCTAGGAGTTTATAATATACTTATCGTAGACCTAAATTCGGCCCCGTCTCCAGAATTTATTTAGAAATTTTCTTTTCGAAATTTGCTTTATTTTTTTTGACAGAAGTCAAAAAACAAAGTCAAAGCTGTTGATTGACTATCTAAGTTAGATGTACTACAAGGTAGTACAAGTAAGACCTATCTCCAAACAACTGTTTACTATGCGTTTCCCACCAGATATAAGAATGTATGCTGATTCTTTGAGTTTATGCTTCGACAATTATTAAGTTTTATAATTTAGTAATTATTTGGTTTTATTAATTTCATTTTGTGTTAGATGAATAGTCCCAGAAAAGGTCAATAAAAACTGATTCCTCCAATTAAAATGATTTCCGTTCAACATTAAAAAAAGCTTGTTACGAGATATTTTATGTTTAGTGGGTTATATGTAGAGTAAAATCATTAGAGCACTAGTATTATCATGAAGTTTGAAAATCCATCTTTCTGATGGAAATACTTAGACACCAACTAGTCTATTCACATGAGAAGAACATCACATCAAATATACAGTGCATAATCTTGCCGCAGAGAGAGTTCTTTACTGAGGTTACCTTTTGTGAGTGGCGTTGTTCTACCTTGAGGTTAGTATACGTCTACCCTGGCATCCATATGGTGCAGGATTCTTCCGTCTATAAGCTACACATCTTCTCTGTAATCCTCTAATTGTCCTTATTGAGATGGACAGTTGCACATTTGTTCATCCCGATAGCATGCATGTACTCATCCTCCACCCTTAAGAATTGAGGGAGATTTTTTTGGGGTCAACACATTTGCCTCGTGTCTTTGATATAGATTATTATTAGTATTGAAATGGAACTTTTGCAATAATTTTTTTATGCATTCAATGGTTAACATAAGATATCAAAGTGGTAGAAATAGCACGTTACAAGATAAGACTTTGTTGGTTCTTTGTTCGCCCAAGTTTCAACTTTTGAGAGTTTTCGTTCATATGGGCACAATACGGAAACAGTAATTTTAATCAACCATTTACCACTAAGTTTACAAATAGACCAAACTACTGAGTTTACTCGAAAAAATTCAACTTTGTCATTACATCACTCTGATCACCTGCTATGAAGATATTATAAGAGTGGACTGGAAATAATGAAATTGGAAAGGCTCATACACATAAAAAATTAACAAATGAATAAATAATTATATACAAAGAATAAATTGTATTCTAGTTACATCATACCATCAATAGAAATATGACGTTTACAAAGCATCTATTACATTTTTAAAAATGAAAGTTTTTCATGATTTATGAAACGGAAAAATAGTTCATTTGAAAAACATTTTGTTTCTTCAACTGCAACTCCAATCGCAATCAGCAGAATATATCTTACCCATCATGTTATACTTTTTCCATTTCAATTAACTTGAACTGAAATTGTAGGAGTGAATCTCCACATGTGTCTGGTAGAGACTATGGGGTTGATACGTGGTACAACACTACTTTCTGGTGCACAACATTGGATGTCTAACTTGTATTGGCCAGGTGTGAAAAAAATTACATTGCATTCGTGATTCGCTCTGGTGTGTGGTTCGAGAAAAGGTAATACTTTCCTGGAAAAAAAAAAAATCAGTGTTCGTATAGAAGTATTTGTTTCAAAAGTATTTTTCTTTCATGTAATTCAATGTTTATATGAAAGTAGTTTTTTCGAAAGGGCATTTTCTTCCAATTTGTGGTTAAAAGTTACTTATTTGCATGATCTACACATTTTTGTAGAGAGTTATATTTCTGTAATCGACTGCTTTTTCCCTTCCTTTGGAAGATTACCATATTTTTTGTATAAATATGGAGAAGTGAAAAGCCAAACCCTGTCTTTCCCAAAAATCAATCTCTCCTAAAAATATGCTACTTATAGTTATATTATGTAATGCAAATTCAACTCACTTGGTGCTACCAGCTATAGCTAATCTTGTATCCATTCTATAATTCAGAGTACCATTTTCATAGTCTTGATAGAACTGAACTGATAGAGTTAATTGACGCAAAGTTTTTTCCAAACTATTAGCTATTGACATTTTCAAATCCAAACAATCTCCGGCATTACAATTCACCTCCTCTTGAGCTTTAACCATTTCTCCGTTGAGTGTAACCTCTGAAACAATATTTACTTGAAATTACCATAAGCCCTTTAAAGACTTATTCCTTTGAAATTACCATACAGCAAATTGAATAATGTTGTAAATACACTCATGTGCATAAAAGACGACCACCTTGAAAGGTTAATATATTTCTAAATAAGGCCCATTTCATACACACGATACGACGAAAAACAAAGTTATGTTTCTACCATATAGGTTGGAACACCCTGTCGTGAAATATAGCTTATGGATGACACTATTATTGACGCAAGCTTGGTTCACTCTCTATAGGTACATTGTTTCTTCACTCATTTTGATATGAATCATCAAATAAAGTATTGCTTTTTCTCTGTGTGTAATTTATTTTTTGTAATTATGGAATAATCAACAATTAAACGATAACATAAGTGTCGAACGGTTGAAAAAAACAATAAACCAATTTTTTATTATTGAGTGTTGCGTCCTCTAGCTTGGACAATAGCTTCCATTCTCAGAGACGTTCCACGAATTAGCGCTTAAATATATTTCTGGGGCATGTTATTCCACTCCTGTATGAGCGCAACACAAAATACATTTTTCTTCATAGGTGGTCTTTCGTGATTTCTCACAAGTACCAGTCATACTCTATAGGATTTGCATCCGGGGAACATGCTTGATCGTTACATGTTACAAAACGAATCATGATATCAAAAGGAATGAAGAAACAATGTATAGAGAATGAACCAAGCTTACATACAGGATGATTTTGAGTGTCATTCAACAGCTGTATTTCACCACAGGGTGTTTTAAACTTATATGATAAAAACATAATTTTGCTTTCCCTCGTATAATGTGTACAAATCATGTCTTATTAGAAAATTTGTTTGATGTAAATTGATCTGGGATAAATCTCCTTCCATTTATTGAAAAGAAAATCAAAATCAGCTAAAAGAAAGGTTATTTGAGAAAAACATTTGTTAACATTTCAAGCTGGCGGTTTTTTAGGCAGCTGAGTGCATTTTTCTAAACTTTGCCAAAAAGGTTAAATATCATTCACACATTAAAATAAAAAAATCTTGTCACAGTTCGTGTCATTGAATATAATATAATTATTTCTCAAAACTTTAGCATCCTTCAAAGAAAAGATCGAAAAATTTTGAATATATGTTCATACAATACAAAAATAAGCTTTCCAAATATAAGCATGTTATTAACAAACAGTCTGCATATAAATGTTTCAGTACCTCTCTCTCTCTTGCAAGTATCACATGAGACAAAAAGCAAGAGTCTTTACATTGTATGTGATGAAGTCGTAATCAGATGAATTCACATTCTTCTTATTTTATAGGCATTTTAATTAATATCAAGACAGCTTGGTAATATTCCATATTTTTGGATATGAATATTTAGTTTTTCCATGGAATATTTTGTGAAATAAGATATAAAAATCCTTCAATTTCTCTTCATTCAGTATTATTAGGTTATTTTAAAAAGTTTTGTCCGTTTTGATGTCATGTGTTTTTGTAGCTCCAAATCTCAATGAATATTTATTATACTGTGTCGTGGTATTTACTGATTGACAGAGAATTTTTAATTTTTTTCTCTTTTCTGCTTTTTATTATATGATGTCTTTAAGCGATTTTTGGCCATACAACCACTTTTTGATGATGAAAAACGACGTTTTTTATTGTCATCTGTGCTTTTGTTGAATGAAAAATTGTAATTTTATTAGAATTTTTGATATTGAAAACAAACCGAAACGCAAAATAATTGCATTATTAAAGACTAAGCTACAATATTTTTCCAATAAAAACGACATTTTGTTTCTTAAATTTCTCGATGTCAACCCTAACCCTACAAGTCACCAACCTAACCTTGGCCAACCCAACCTCCAAGTCCATACACCCCAAATGAAATAACCCAACCTCCAAGTCCACCTCAAATTGGCCCAACCCAAGTCACCCACCCTCATCTACCCCAAAACTCACACCAACCCAAATGAGGAGTGATAAATTTTGGAATCCGGAATACACTTTTTCCGACTAATTGGACCCCCAGGAAACGTTTGCAATACGATTTGGATCTTAAATCGGAAAAATTCGACGTTTCACCATTAATGTATCTCGAAAACGGTGAACTTGTCCAGAAGGCGGTTATCGCTATCGTATTGTGCGCCTCTTAAATATCCTCATGCGACTCTCAAATCGAAATGCCCGGGTACTATGAACCTAACCTATTGAAATTGAACCAAAGCACGGCCTAATCAACCAAACATTTGACAAAGATAGTGTTAATAAACGTACCGTTCGCTAAATTCGTTCTGGAGATTTTAGCCTAGAAAATGAGGCCCGAAGTTGTCGACCTACAGTCGAGGATTTAAGGTCTCTGGTGGAGACTGACCCATCACAAACGGTGTGAATGATCGACAAATATTTTCACATTTCGAGGTCTGTTCTTTGATTTCGCGCAACCAAAACGATACTTTTTTGGAAAAGCGGATCCTCTACGACAACAGGAGACGTTCAGGATAGTGGTTGAACATCGATGAGCCATCCAGGCACTTCCCAAAGGGAAAATCCACAAAAATAGACCATGGTTATGGTGGTCAGCGACTGGTGTCATTCACTATTACTTTCTGCAAACCATCAGCAACAGCCGCCGGCAATGTTCAACAGAAGAGGTCCGATTCTGCTCCACAACGCCCGTCCGCACGTTTCACAAATCACCGTCCGAAAATTGAACGAATTGAGCGTCGAGGTTCTACGTCACCCACCATACTCCTCCTCGCCAACCGCCTATAGTATTTTCAAGCACTTCAATAACTTTCTCACCGGTAAAACCTTCGCCAACCAGGACTAGGCAAAAATGGCCTACTTCGACTTCATCGAATTCCGAGCACGCAATTTTTATGCTGACGAAATTAATCGATTTGTGTTACGTTGACAAAGGCACGAATGACACTAATTTTGATTAAATTGAATAAGTATTCACTGAGATATTACAGTTTAAAGTAGACCCATAAAAAAAACAAAAATTTAGAATCAACCCAATATTATAGTTAGGAAAATTTATAACTTTGTTTCCTCTCAATCCAGCATATTTCTTCAAAAAGACAATAGTGTTTCCCCTTCCCCGAATCCATTAGTATTTCAGATATGAAGGTTTGATACATACCCCAATCCAAAGGAGACATTCTCACAATATCCAGCATTCTAGACGTCAAATTGATCCCCTTCAGCAAAGCAACTCCTTTAGACTCCGTTCCAAGCAAAAGCCACCGCAGATCAACCAACTCAGTGATGTGATCCGAACAAATTTTGTTGACATCAATGTCATTTTTGGCGGTAGCATTTTCGCCGTCCAAGTCTTGATATAGACTTGAAAGCTTCGAGAGAGGACATCTGTCCACCGGTATAGGTACCCGACAGCTCTCTTGACCTTCGATCAACATTGTTTTTGTAGGGGTGTACTGCAACTCCATCTCCTGAGTAGTTAAGTTGGCGATGTCAAGTACCAAATAGAACTGGGAATTTCTGAAAGGTAAGATAAGAAAGAATGAAAAAGGACAAATGAAACTTAGATATTTCGGTGTATTTTAATGTTAACATATGCCACGAAAAGGATTTGAAGCTTTATAACTTCTATTTATTATATGCGAGTGCTTTCGATAGCTGGCTGTGCTATCATCTATGATAGCTCTGTTGTTGTTTAAACTAGTTTTTGCATTTTTTTTCATGAGAACTCGCCATTACTAGATACACAGGTACAATATGATATGACACAATAAAAAGAAGGTTTTAGACCTTCTCCACAACAGAATTGTCATAACTCAGAAAGGGGTGTTATACCAAAATAGTTCACGAATAAATTTCTTATTTGAAATTCATAGTTGTAGTGACATAACTCATAATTTATCACTATGTATGTCAAATAAAAATTAAAATGTACAATGATCCTCACGGCATAATGACACAACTCAAAACTCATGATCTTCTACTAAACAAGAAATCTGACATTATTCTTGTGAACAAATGAAAATCCTGAGTGTTATTTCACGACTACAAAAAGTGACACTAGCATATTTTAGTAGAACCGGGTTTGATTTGAGTTGTGGCCTTTTTGCAATTAAGATATTGTTACGTTTTTCCCCCATGGGTTCACCAATAATTGGCTATACTGAACAATAATCAAACTTAACTTTATTTCACTTTTAATACAACAAAACACTTCAACTTAAACTATTATTCAAATGTCTATTGCCTTATTAGATCGCTTCGAGTACCGCACTGTCACTTCCACTTGACTGTCTCAATAGGCGAGTGGATCGTGTTTATGTTTGGCAATCGAAGGCCATAGAAAATTCGTCGGAATTCCATAGAAGCCGGTGACATTATTCTCGCCACATCTAGAATGGCAGCGAATATCGAACATTCGCGAAAAGTCGGTCGGACCGAACGCGGTTTTAGCCATGTAACAATTGGTTTATGGCTACCAGTGACGGTCGGCGTTATTTTCTTTAGGACATTATTTACAACACTACCCCCTTCGCTGAGGTTGTTCGCCTCGAACAACATTCCATCACGACCCACGTCAGGACTCAGTCTCTCTATGTGGACAACTTTAGAGTTGCTTCTGGGTGACAATTGGATTCCGTACACCAGATCGTTAATCTTTTTGGTTGCCAAGTAATGTACTTGCCATGGTCTCTGCAATTTGGGACACAAACCTTAGCGGCGTTGGGGTTGGTAGAGCCACATTGCATCGCCCTCTTTGAAGTTCACCGGTAGCGACTTTTTGTCAAATCTTCATCCTGTCACTGGATAGCTGTAATTTGATTCTGACAAAATTCGTGTAGAATTTGCAGTTTCTCCTTCAGGTCGTTCACATACTTTGAAAGATGTACCTCTGATGGTGAATCCGCTGGTTTGTTTTTGACCCCTTTCTTGCAACCAAGTGTTATCTATCCTTTACACTTGGCTGTACCGTACTGACAAAGGCTAAATAGACAGAAACACGTGTCTGCGGTTTGCCCACTTTCCTATGAGTGCTTGTCCAATAACTCATTTTCATTGATAATAACAACTCACTCAAAATCCATCTTTCTTGTTAGATTTATCTTGGACCCGTATGTCACGCAGGTTGCTATAGCTGCACCCGTAACGAAGTTGGGAGTTAGTCCTTGTAATCACAAGGTCTTCCAACGTTGACACGAAACTACAGTTGGCCCCTGATGATGAATCTGCTTTTTTGTTTTTGACCCCTTTCTTGCAACCAAGTGTTATCTATCCTTTACACTTGGCTGTACCGTACTGACGAAGGCTAAATAGCCAGAAACACGTGTATATATATGAAAAGTTTCCTCCTATATATTGAACTGAAGTTTAAAACTTTCATTTATTCATTTGATATAAACAGAAATCATAAACAAATACATAAAAATTTAATTGCAATCATAAACATATACAAATACAAATTAAATTGCAATCAAGCCAACAACTTATTTCTGACTTGAAATCATTTAGAGAATAGCTGAAAATATCTCTACATGTTGAAAAACATTTCCATTTCGGAACATTTGAATAATTGGAGAGAAACAACTGTAATTAGTTGAATGAAACAGTGTTTTGAAAATTTAATTAGTGACACTAGTTTGTCTATTCACATTCGAATTACCAAAGGATATGATTTCATCTCAATCAATATTGCCTGTTAAAAGCACACATCATTATTTACTCTCCAATTTTTTATTGTTGATCAATTGAGATGGTGACAAATATTTTTATATGAGTATTCCCCGTCTCTGAGACACACCTCAGAAGCATAAACCCTCAAAAATATATCCTATACAGCTCCAATCTGTCTATTATGAATTTCATGATAGGAACTTCAGATACAGTCATCAGACCTATTTTGATTTCTGTTAAAATTTTGGTACATGGGATGTTTCTCCTCGCTTTGCTGTGTTGAGTAGTTTTACTAATTTCTCTCACACGAAGATTTCACACATGCAGTCAAGCCACAATTGAAGTCAGTCGATTCCCAGGCACACTGCTGTTTGGGTCTGATCTTTTCTTCACTGACGAGGGATAATAAACTGAAACCAGTCTGCAGGTGATTATACCAGTGCGATCCTGCTGTTATATATGAAGCATCTGCAAGATGTATCCATGAGGTAACTTGCATTAATGCCTATCGAATATAATTGAATATCCATCGTAGTATTAGCCGGGGAAGTAGTTGTTTTCCAGCAAACATTCACCAGACCCTACCGTGTAGGAACGTTGGGAGAGATATATTTTCCGCAGTTTCGTTTTGAAATATACATTTTTTTAATACAATAGTCATGAGACTCATTTCAGTTTCCGCCATAATTATAATATTGAATAAATAAAATGAAAACTGAAAGGTGTCTGCCACTTGAAATTTGACTTTGAATATGTCTATGAAATGCAAAAAATGGTAAAGTTATCTCAATGGTATGTAACAAAGTTTCTTGAGTACAATAATGCTTCGATATCAAGTGATGATTTCATATGACTATAAAAAACAAATAAATGTTAGGTTTCACTCTTAGATCTGCTTAGGAAATATCTCTCTCATCCTTTACAATAATACAATTTAATAATACAAATTTACAATTCGATGCCCCGCATATAATATGAATATTGATATATCTGAAAGTGTTCAAAACAAGTTTTCAAGTTGCTCTGAATATAATTCATGGTGTCATATTGGTGAATATAACTAGAAAATTATATCGGACATTCTTGATTTGAATACTCTGGCTTATACATTAGAATCAGATCTTACACTAATTCACTAAATAATCAAACATTAAATCTCGGGAATTTTTTGAACCTATAACTTTAAATTTGAATCCAAAGAGAACTAGAAACAGAGAAATCTTCAGTACCTTTTTATCATACCAACTATAGCCATAATGAGTTTTTAGGTAGAATTTTGAGACTTGCAAACACATACAATGTATATTACTGGAATTTTATTCCCAACACCAAACCGTTTTTTAGCACCTCGACACGTGTTTCAAACCAAGTGATCATCTTCAAGAGGAAGATTAATCTTTTTTGATCGAAGCACGTGACGAGGTGTTAAAAATAATGGTTTGGTGTTGAGGATAAAACTCCAGTTCGATTGATGACGTATTTATTTTGTACAAATTCATGTTGAATATAGAATAAAGAAAATACTTTTGTCTAGTTTCTACTGTGTTTATTTATTCGTTACGACCGGTTTCGGCTTATAAGGCCATTTTCAAGAAACCGGTCGTAACGAATAAATAAACACAGTAGAAACTAGACAAAAGTATTTTCTTTATTCTATATTCAAAACTCCAGTAATATTAATCACTACACCAAAGGTTCCAAACAGTGCATCACAAGTACATAAAAATGTAGATTTACAACTTTTTAATTTTTCTTTGGAATCATTTGAAAAGACTGAGAAGATTGTAATTAACTGGCTTATTTTTGCCTATTTTATATTTTTTTACTACATCTAGCTGATAAGGCAATGTCGTCAATGAATGAATAAATGAAACAAAAATACAGTGCCTCTGTGGTTCTACTTACATTTCAGCTGGTAAAACATCCCAATTAGTTACACTCAATGATGGTAACATTTCCAACATTAGAAAAACTGAACAAGACCTGCAATAGTCTGAGCTCACTCCTTCTGATCCACTGTACCTTAATCTAAGTTGACCTTCAATGACAGAAGTTGTAGGTTGTTGATGAAATAGAGTGGTTAGACCACCTGCAATACTTGATTGGCCAGAATTCGATGACCGGAAACTAGAATTGAATCTTGAAGGCAAGGACCCCCCTGCAAAAATGTATCATCAATCAATCAATCAAACATTTATTGAATCAGTTTTCATTTACAATCACATTAGGCAAACATCATCATAAAATACTGACAGACCATTTGTAGAACACCACTCCTCAATTTGATCAGTTACTTCATTAGCTTTGACAATTACTTCGGACATAGTTTCCGCAGATACCAAGATATTAGTGTCATCCGCAAAAATTATAATAATGGAAGCTTTCGAACAAAATTTCGGAAGATCGTTAATAAAAATCAAAAATAAAAGAGGTCCTAAAACAGGACCTCTTTTATTTTTGTAATAAATCAATAGTAAAGTTATTATATGTATCCAAGATGATGATGTCTGTTATGTGGATTTCACGAGACAGTATTTCATAGATTCTTCATTAAATAACATTATTTCATCTTTCCCATAAAACATTGTTTGTAATAAAAAAACTCAAACTCAAAATGTATTTATGAATATATGAACATGTGCAAACATAAATTGTCAAATGTGGAAAAACTGTTAGCTCGTTATAAAAGTTTTGTCTGTTTTCATGAGTCTACCTTGAACTGTGATATCTTATTGAATGCTCATTCAATTTAATTAAAATAAGCAACATTTCAATCAGTGCACTTTTGCTAACGTAACACAAGCTGATTAATTCAGTCAGCATAAAAATTGTGTGCTCGAGATTTCATGAAGTCGTCGAAGGCCGTTCCTGATTAGCAAAAGTTTTACGAGTGAGAAAGTTATCGAAGTGCTTGACAAGATTATAGTCGGTTGGCGAGAGGTCTGGGAAGTATGGTGGGTATGACCTTCGACCCTCAATTCGTTTAATTTTCGGACGGTGACTTGTGAAGCGTGCGTGCGGGCGTTGTGGAGCAGGATAGGACCTTTTCTGTTGACCAGTGCCGGCTGCTGCATTTCGTCGATTTCCTCACAATAAGACTCTGCTGTGATGGTTTGGTCTGGTTGCAAAAGTGAATCATACCAGCCGCTGATCACCATACAGTAACCAAGGCTTTTTTTTGGGAGTTTTCACCTTTGGGAAGTGCCTGGGTGACTTATGGAAGCTGACGCCCAGGTCTTTTGAATTTCCACGCACCGTTTGTGATGGGTCAGTCTCCACCAGGGTCCTCAAATCATCTTCCAGGAATACTGTAGGTCGACCACTTCGGGGCTCACCTTCGAGGCTAAAATCTCTTAATCGAAATTTCGCAAACCAACGTTGTACAGTGTGTTTATCAACACTATCATTGCCAAAATACCTGGTTAGTTTTTCAATCTGTTTCGGCAGAGCTTTATGTCACCACAATTTGTCAGGTGATCGACGTGGAGTACAAGCTAGGTCTCGATACTATAAATGATCTTAAGCTTACGAGAGAGATCAATCCCATAAGCGTGCAAACCAGCTACGGCCCTACAACATATTGCGTAGAGTGGGGAAAACACACTAACCAAACAAAAATCTGTTGAACGATGGAAGTCTAAGAACAACAGTCTGCTTCGACGATATTTAGGCCACCCGGGCAGGCGGAACAACAACACCTTCATGCAAATGAGGAATCACCACCTCTACCAATAATAACTCCCGAGAATAATTCGAGTCATCTGGGTCTTATCGAGATGGCAGAACAGGGAAGAGAGATTTTCCAGGCTTTCACAAAGCTTAGTACCTTTATAAACATAGGAGAGATGTTGAGGTGGATCAACGTCCTTATTCCTCTGCTAGCGAACACACGGGACCTTTGGAAAAATGGAGAGCGTTTGTGAAGTTTCTCCAAAGCATTTACACAAACAAACGTATCTCTAAAAGCGACTGCTAACTCCAATAACCAGAACTTAACATTGAACGTTCTAACCCGGTTTTTTGGCATGAACCCCTGTCACAAGAGTCCCTGTCACAAATCGGATCGTCAGCGAATGGGATCTTTGATCGACTTTACTACTACAGCTACAGGGACATCACGAACGTGAAAGACTGGTTAGACTTAAATCTCTTGAGCTTGAATTTATCAAAACAAAAGTAGTGTCCTATCGTTGCCAGATTCCATCTATACATCTAAAGAATATTCAAATTGACAATGTATAAACTTCTAAATTCCTTGGCATGTTCATTGACAATGATTTAAAAATAAACAAACATGTAGATAGTTCGAAATCCTCTGGATGTTATGCAACACGAGTAACTGCATTAGAGCTTTTGGGGTGTGTTTATCAAACCATGCAAAGATTTAGTTTCAAATTACCGCTGCCTTCTTCCACCCTAGTTAAAGATTCCATTATTTACAACGGTCTCAAAATGTTCAATCACCTTCCTCAGGCTATAAGAACCATAAATGGCCTTAGCGCTCTTAAGAAAGAGTTGAAAGACTTGCTTTCTGTGAGACTTTATTATAGCTCAGCCGAATTCTATGATGATAATTTTAATTGAGTAATATCTAACTGTAATATCTACGGTATTCGCGAAAATGGGCGTTACTCGCTCGAATAATTTACAACAAACTTCATTCGCATGAGTAACGGTCACATTTCTCGCTAGTTGAAAAATATTCTATTATCGAACTTCTTTCGTTACTATGTTTATTACAAGACTATTTAAACATTGCCCGTCTCATCAGCTTCAACATTTAACACTCAACATGTATCACAATAATTTCTGTATTACAAAACTTTATTTATTTAAAACACCCTAATTCAGTTTATAAGGCAATAAAGCTAAT